TGTCGATTTTGCAACCAACTGTTAAACTGCCAAGACCGCCAAGACTCGCGGAAATGGTGAAGCATTTTCCCAAATTGGGCCGGTTGAGACCGGATGTCCAAACGAACCCCGGACGCGTGCTCCCACACGCCCCACTGACGAGGAGTCCAGCACCAACGTCTCATCTCAACATTGACTTTACGCAAAATTCTCAAATCAGGGAGAGGAAACATCATCTCAATCCCAAAACGCTCCCACCAGGAGCACAAGGTTGCTAATACCCTTTGACTGGCAAGGAACGAGAGATCGCCACGGTGCCCCCAACGAGCCAGGAGTTCAAGATTCCGAGAAGCGGGACCATGTTGGCCACCCATGCAAGCTTTCCGAAACAACACACGCCAAGCTGACGGCTCATGCGTCATGCGACCAGTGATGAGCTGGTTCCAAACCGCTTTATTGGACAAAGCCGTTGCCCCATCTATGGTGGCTGCTTCTGTGTCAGCTCCAGCCTCGAGCAACAATCGCACAACTTCCAAGTGGCCGTTGTGGGTCGCATAAAGCAAAGCCGTTACCCCATGTGTCGTGGCTGCATCTTTGTCAGCTCCAGCCTCAAGCAACAATCGCACAACTTCCAAGTGGCCACTCCCAACTGCAACAATCAAAGCCGTGTCCCCATCTATCATGGCTGCTTCTTTGTCAGCTCCAGCCTCGAGCAACAATCGCACAACTTCCAAGTGGCCGTTGTGGGTCGCATAAAGCAAAGCCGTTGCCCCATCTGTTGTGGCTGCATCTTTGTCAGCTCCAGCCTCAAGCAACAACCGCACAACTTCCAAGTGGCCACTCCCGGCTGCAACAATCAAAGCCGTTGTTGCCCCATCTATGGTGGCTGCTTCTTTGTCAGCTCCAGCCTCGAGCAACAACCGGACAACTTCCAAGTGGCCTTCGTCGGCGGCAAGGAGCAAAGCCCTTCCGCTTGGGTGCTGTGGTTTTTGAAGCAATCGTTCGACACGACTCGCCTGATTCGCCTGGCAGTACTCTTCTTCCTCCATAGTCTCATCATGAGCACAAATGGGCAGGAATACCAGCTGTACACTTGGCAGTGGTGTCAATGGCATGTCATCCTGCAATTCGTCAGCTTCGCCACTGATCATGAGTCGTTGCTGAAACCTTGAGCACCCAACCTTAGCTGAAAGACGTCGCTTTAGGTCCCGAACAGTTGTCCCACTTTCCACCATGTACCGCAACTCATCCGCATCAAGCTCGGCGATTCTCTTCCCAGATAGAGCCACAACGTCCATAGTTAAGCTTCAGAAGCTAGAGGTCTTGAGCCAAAGTCTAAAGCAAGGCTGCAAACATTGCATCTCTGTATGAATGATACAAAGGCAAAGGGATTCATGGGTGGCAGAGCAATGCACTTTTCACAAGCGAACTAAACAAAAAAAACAAAGGTCAAGACTCAAGACTCCTGAAAATAACTGGAAGGTCTTCCATCTCGTTTTTTTCCGGCCGTTCCCTCTGTGAAACACGCATGGAAGTGGACAACCACTCGTTTGTAAAGGAACATGGAAGCCACTATGGATCGAGGGTTCACGTCCCGTGGCGGTCGTTTTCGAAGCGCACGAGTGTTGTTTCTGCGAATCGACCCATGACATGCACCAAAGTCCTTTACTCTTCGCAATTGCTCTTGTGGCTTGTAGGTTTATCGCCATGGTTTTGACGTGCTTCGTTGAGTTTGGAAGGCGAAAGAGTGGCATGATGGTCGACGATCTTCAGGTGCACTCTCTTTCTTCAAGGGCCAAACAGATATGTTGGAGGGAGCCCGTGGCTTTTTCAACGGCTGGGCGAGATGTCAAGAGGTGAATGCATAACCTTGAAAGAGGGGCAGTTTCCATCGTCTGAAAATTTGCGGATCCTTTGTGGTCGCCTTCTTGCTTATGTTTCGGTTTCTAGCTGCATTTTGAGGAAATGGCTTTCTACCCGGTTAGTGCTACAGTCACTGTCGCATTTGACTGCACTCGGCCTTGATAACTTGGTTTCATGCGCGGGCATTTATATCACCGATCGCACCCATGCTGCGCGTGAAAAAGATGTTGAGTGATGGCATCATTGGTGCAAGGCAATGAACTGAATGTTGTTCTGCTTGAGGACGAATATCATATGATTGTGCTTGAGTCAAAGGACAAAGGACTTCTTTTTTCAGTGATGACTTGTATGAAACGCATCAAAGGTATGTGGCGGATGTGTCATTCTGCAAGTTTCCAGGACTTCATGGGGCACAAAGGTGAACAGCCGATACTCCTGTTAGCCTCGCTCATGCTGGTTTTGTTTGATGTATGTCTCGCTTGGAATCCAACGGGATCTGACATCATCGACCTGAAAAACGTGTTTAGATCGACATTGTCCGGCTCCCTACCCGGTCAACCTGTCGGGGAACGGAGCGGGATCGCCATGTGGTGTGGAGGGTTTCATGGTCATCCAACGAGCTGTTCTTCATCCACTTCCCCACATGGTGTACCTGTTCTTGCTGTGAACATACTCCTCTTCTCCTTCCCGTTTCAGAGAATCTATGATGCTTTCTCCAGGGTTGCCACTGTGCCACTCTCCATGAACAGCTTGTTGGCAAAGGACATGTTCCAAAGAAATGACGTCCAAAATGTTTCTGCCCACTCCCTGGTGTTGCCTGGCAATTGTAGGAACCTCGTGTTGGACATGTTTGTGGGTTTTGAACAAGCTCCAACAAAAACCCAGCAAAGCACTACTAAGTAGAAGTCCCAGGTTCATGAACTTTTGGACTCCTATACATCCAACATCTGTGTTTTCCTCATGCTCAACATCCTAGAGGTTTGTATTATCTCTAGATCTCATCATCTCTTTAAGCAACTGAGTGTCTTCACTTGACCCACACTCTGTGACCATCAGCCCGCAGCAGACTCCGGAGCGGGGTTGAGTGAGCGCAGCCGAATCCAAGCAGAGTCCACATCCTCTGTGGAGCCCAGGTTGGGCCCATCTTCATCTCTTTTGGCCTCGTCTCCCCCCGCGTTGTCACCCCTCCGACCGAGCCGAGTCGCTGCGTCCGGCGCCATCTGATTGAAGATCTGCTCGAAGGCGACGCTCCGCGGCAGGTCGGGTCGCTGAGGGTCGGTGCCGCTGGGAGTTTGAGGCGAAAAAAGGGACCATAAGCTGAAGAGGGGCTCTGGAGCCATGGCCCAATCGCTTTTCACCTGGGATCGAGGATGGAACCATGGCTCAATTCACCGAAATAAATCAACTACTAGTGGTGGTTTTTGCACTAGCGGCGGCGTCCTTGCTAGTGGTAGCGACGCACTTTGTTACTAGTATAGCTTCTTGTTACTAGCAGTAGTGCACTTAGCTACTAGAGCCTTGGCTCAAATCCCGTGGTTTTTGCACTTCGTTGGTTTGCCCAGGGGTTGACTCCTGAGATCTCAGAGAGGGCGAAGACATTCTTCTGCAGTTAAAACGTTGGGTTTGCTGATGGGGATCCTGGATCATTTGAATGAGCTTTGAACAATATCTCCAATACCTCATAACCTTGAAGACATCCTGCTACCTACAGATGTGTATGGGCTGGTTTATGCGCAATGTCTTTCTTAGACATAGCGCTCCAATCAGTTCCTGGATCCATTGATCAAACTGATTAGTCTCGCCTCCGAATTTGTTTCTTGGCTGTCTTTCTTTTTTTGGGGAAGCTTCAGCTTGGCTTCACATACTTTGGTGGGTGAAAGGGCACCAATTCCATGTAGTTGTCAGACCATACGGGCAAAGCACATCCAAACCATGCACACCGAAAGAACTCCCACCAGAAATGCTCCCATTTTCGGGCTGAAACGTGATCATACGTGATCATCTACCTCAAAGCTCCTGGTTTTGTTTTAAGGGGACATGTTCCCTTTTTGCACCATCCTATCTGCTGGTTGGGTGCAACCTCAGCAAACTCTCGACCGGTTTAGCGCTTCGAGCCAGGTAGCCCCCAGCAGCTCAGGATGCCTGGCGACATAATGTGCGAGTGCTGCGACCAGCAAAGGCCCCAGAGGCGTGAAAAAGGCCATCGCCGCGCCGTGGAACCCGCGTGGCTTTTTTGAGCAGGTCGGAAGGCAGGGAAGACATTCACGTTCGCCGCATTTGATTTGGAAAACCCGGGGAAGTGGAACGGGCTCTGGAAGATGGAGTGCCTGTCTCACTGGGATACAAAACACAAGCAAATGGAAAGGTTCCAACTTCAATCCATCATATTTCGCCGATGTTCATGCTGTTGTCCTTAGTGTAATGGATCTTTACTGCTTTCTAGCACCTCGTGCCGAAGACGGACGATGCCATGGAAGAAACAACTGCCGCTGTCGAAGAATTCTGAACCGGACGGATTCACAGGAAGCTAGGGATCCGTGGAGGAAACAGGACACCATGGTGAAAGCCCCCAACACAACGCTCCAAACAAGTCCTTCTCAGATTCGAAAAGGTGGTCAAACATGACCTCTGACACAGATTGTCATGGATGATCACAGATTTGGCAAGAAATGGACATATAGGCTGAAATCACTGTATGTGAAATCCATGCTTTGCCGGAACTCGGCAAACCCCGGAGATCAGATCTGATGTTGTTCAAGAAGCAAACCCAAGGTGTTGAATCAATGTAGAAACACGCAGAAACACACTAAGTGGTCATGTCACCCCTTTTTGTCCATCAAATCTCCATTCTTGGCTTTCCCACTACTTTTGCTCATCTGATTCTTCTCTTGAGCCGCTAAGGCTGAGGAGTCTTGCTCCTGAAGACGATCTGCGAGTTTGGTCGTGCGATAGCTTGAAAAACAAATCGTCCGAACCAAGGTAGGCGACTAAGGCGACTGAAGACTCTTCCAACCTACTAGCAACCTAACCTACTAGGTGTTAGGTTTTAGGTAGCAACCTAACCTACTAGCAATAGCCTTCCAACCTACTAGCGATGGCCTCTCTCCCCCCTGTCCACACCCCGACCCCCTGTCACACCATCCCGACGAGCAAGTCACCCGTGCGACGGCCCAAACGATGTTGCAAATGTGTGACCTCGAGGCCCGGTGATCGGCCGAGCGTGCGCACCGAGGCCGGCCGGACGGCCGAGGCCGGCCCGGCGCCTGCGAACTCGTGCGCCCACCCGGTGGAGTATCTGGAACTCCCCCCGCTGCGAACTCGTCATGTGACCCTTTTCCAGTCGGATCTGATAGGGCACAGTGTTTGGATCGACCTGATGAACGAATCGTGATTGTGGGAGAGTTAGTTGGGGCTCAGAAACTCGGATTGGTGCTGGAATCTCTGAGATGCAAAATGTGTGAAGAACATTGAAGAATCATGCGCCCCATCTGAGCACATGCTTTTTTTGTGTATGAACTGAAAGGCGCTTCGCCTGTCATTACCTGAATCCAATTGTCAAGCGACACACGCGGCGTCGAACATGGCTTTTTACAGTACTCCCTGCAAACCTACCGGGGGGGGGGGCAAGCCATCTGCCCGCTATCCAGCTTACACCATGCAAGGCTGCAAATGCAAAAAAAATATATATATATAGATATACCATTTGTATATGCATTATGTTACAGTTCTTGGTGTTCTGAAGAACTAGGCTTGGATCATCAAAAACTCGAGTACCACAGTAATTAGCGTGGAGTATGTATCTTCTCAAGGCTATATTCCCATACGGAAAGGCCATGTTCCACATCCCCTAGGGTTAAAAATCCTGACAAGGAGAAGGGTCTCAGTACCCTATAGGAATCTGTGATGATCAGAAGGGTACTAATCTAATCTCATCTTTCCAGAAGGACCATCCTTCAAAGCCTTCCCTTGGCTACCACAAGCTTGGCGACCGACACATCCATGGCTCCGACGCAATCGGCCGCCTGGCGATGACTTGATCTGAGAATCGACGAAAGCCAGCCACCTGGCTCTTGAAACTGAGAGAACCTCGGTGGCCAACCCTCAGCAGCCCTACCACTCCAAGTGAACGTGTTTGAGAAGTTTATCCAACGTCACTGATCTATACCCCTATATTCCATGTGGACTCCAAGAGTTAATATGAACTCCGAATAATACATAATAGCCGACTTCGGGTCTGAGTGATCCTGTACTTAGGGTGGAGCGGACATCTCTTTGCATCACAACATCACAACCTTTCATCCAGCAATGGCCCCTGGTTGTGGGCACAATGGCCGGTATCATGTCTTTTGAGACTGATGTATCATGTCTCAGTCATGTGTCCAACATCCAAAGGTGATCTTCTGTCTGGCCGCAGTGCAAAGCATCCAAAGCTTCCCATGTTCAGGCAATAGATAAGCAACATGTTCTGCCGCCTGATTCTGCTTTCGACACCTAGAACCTTCTTCAAGCATTGCTCCGACGACTGTTTCGAATCATTCAGTGTGGCTTGCTCTGGAGCTTCAGGCCCAAACCCGCGAAGTCGCAACATAAACAAACATCGTCAACACAAATCGTCCGAGGGTGGAGGGTACAAAGGCCTTTCAGGGTGGTTGAACTTCAGACCAACATCTACCAGGGCCCCTGGTCTGCAGGGATGTCTTGTAGCTCCTTAGAGGTATCCAGGGGTATTCATTAACCACCCCATGGCCGGGCCCTGGAGTCTCAACCTCTGAAATCGGACACGTGCCAGGTGGTGCCAACACTGCTCGCACCGAGAGAAGCCCAACCGGTGATGGCCCAGGTCGGAAGACCGTTTGGACCAAAAACACGGTCACGTTTCCAGTGACACGAATTGAGCCATGCAGAGCGGAAAGACACCAAAACAGGCTAACAAACGCAAAAAGGATCTGACTTCACCATTGTCCTGGTGACAGCACTGAACCCCATGGCACCCGAGTCAGCTCCCAATCTCCTCGGCCGAAGCCGACTCGCCTGTTGGGAGGCCGCCTGAAAGACCGAGTCGGAAGGATAGCCGCTGACCTCGGATTCACCCACCGCTGTCCACGGATTCCAAGCTCTGAAGGGGGACTTTCCCGCCTCGGTGGTTCCGCTGACCTCGGTGGATCTGAGGATCATGGGACACCATGGGAAACTCGTTGCATCGATCGTAGAATCCGACCTCTTTTGGAGGGAATTGGGATCAACATGGATCAACCAGTTCTGGGGCTGATGGCTCCTGTCTCCAAACTGGAGTGGTGGGACTGGGAGCGGCTTCCCCTTCGGGTCACGGGTGTTCGTTCCGTGGCTCTTGCCCCGCCCGACGGCTCGGTGTCCCTGACAGCCAAGGCCCACAAAGTGATTGGCAGCTCCTGCCACTCACAGGGCAAACAAACCGTTGTGAACACTCGTGTTCACCGTTCCTTTCAACAAATGGGGAAGTTGCTCACGCTTTACAGGTCATCTCACAATTGAGGAACACTTCCTATCAATTTGGCCTAACTTGTTTCCTGCGCTCACCGCCTTTCTTCCACGAAGAGGTTCGTCTTGAGGCTCTTTCCCCTTTCTTCATCGAACTTGAATTTACCCAATCCCTCGTCGTCCCTCGTCCTATTGGTCCGGTCCCATTGCCAAGTGACCTTTCCCTTCCTTCTCAAACCCCACTTGAGGGTTCAAAACCCTTGGCTCATGCTCACGACTTTGCCAGCTGGCTTAACCCAGATGTCACCAAGTCAACCCCAAATCCCCCCCAAACAGAACATCCTTCATAACACTCTTTAAACACATACTCCAAAAATTGAAGGCATTCAAGCGCACAAAGGGTGTCCTCGGCAAAACCGTTCTTCATAGCCCCTCTCCATGAATAAATCACAGTAATTTGGGCCAACTCACCCCTGAAAGACGATTCTAGCCCTTCTGGCAATCTTCGGGGGGTTATCAATTGTGCCCTTACATTAGACCACATTATGCCATACTTGTTGCTTAAGAAAGTCTCTCTGCAGCTGGACAGCTACGGCCTCCCTTTCATCACTTTAGACAAGAAGCATAATAAATAAACAACATTGATTGTTCTGTCCAAACTGACAGGCATTCCATCCACGTTTCGCGCTGAACCGTCCGATGCGTGTGCTATCTAATGCGCTTATACTGTTGGCCTATCTCCACATGGAGCAGGGACTTAAAGAAAATGGATGCAAATGGCACACTTCAAAACCCATTCGCAAAAACACAAGACTAGTAACAAGAAGCTACTAGTAGGGTCTCCTGGCCTTACTAGTCTTACTACTAGGAGCACGGTCACGCTACGAGTTCCGGGGCTCCTGGCATCGCGACGAAGAACGGAGCGAGCTTCGCTTCATCCCATCCGCGTTCGTTCGCTCCTGGGCACCCAGCTCGCCGATGCGAGCGGCGCCTGGCGAGCTTCGGCTGGACAGCCGCTTGGACTCATGTTTCCAAGGTTGATCAACATCAATGGAATCTTGGTATGTCAGAAAAAAGAACACACAAAAACGTTTGTCTTTCAAAGGATGGAGTCTTTAAGTTTGACCCGCATACCGCAAAAAACCCATCTGTGTACACAAAAATTGCACATGTCCTCCTGGACCAGTCAAGTCCTTCTGAGTGCATGGACCAGTTTTCCACTGAGATAACTCTTCCTGGTTTTTCACATCTCCCTGTTCGCCGTTGCAGGTTCTGACAAACATACAGTATCGAACTGTCGTCTGACTTTTGCACATGTACATATATACAAACATTACAAATTATACACTACTACTACTGCTACTACTACTACTACTACTACTCCTACTACTACTCCTACTCCTACTCCTACTACTACTACATATTATATATCACATATACCCACACTCTCTCTCTCTCTCTCTCTGCGATCTTTATATTCTTATGATTTCTTATGAACCTTCATGATCTTTAAAGTCTATAAATGCATATTACGCATATGATAAGCATTTTTGAACCTCCCGAACTCCCTGGGTCACCAGGAACTGCCCAACACCCAACCTGCCCTCCCCTCCCCTGGCAGCGCCGCGGCGCACATTCGCTGGTCAACGCTTCGAACAAGGGCAGATCTCGATGCTGAGCTGTTGCATAGGCCTCGGGGCGGAGTTCGGACCGCTCGGGTGCGCCGAGAAGCCCCGTGCGGATCGGTCGACGTCTGAAGTCGAAGATGAACAACCCACAAACCCGCAAGCGACTGATGAACGCAACGGACATTTAGGGTCAAAGAAATCCGTCCCATGACACACCCTTGGAACCCCAAACTCAGGTATCAAAGGGCAAACATCATATCATGTTCACACTGCCATGTACGAAACCAGACTCTTGGTCAAGTCAACTGTTATCATTTTCCATTTCCATAAGCTGTTCTATTGTCGCTAGCGCGTTGCTGTACATGCGTCACAAAGCATCTTGGACGCCGTGATAGTATGTGATAATCAGGCCAGACTTTCCCACTCATGCTCAACAAAGCGGACTTCGGCGCACGAGCTTCGTCCATCCAGCAAAACTGGTAAACCGTAATTCTTGCCCTCATGCACTGCTTAAAGACACATTGGGCATTTCGGAAAACAGATGCCTCTTCTAGCACGTTTTCTTTCAGTGATCCTCGTCCGTGTCTTCGTCATCAGTGTACGGCTCCTTCAAGCAATGCCGAGATGTCAAGCGGAGATCATGCAGGGAGCACTACAAACTCCTGAAACTGCTTGCCAGTAGATTGGGTGTGATCTACCGGAGAGGAGCATGATGCGACTCTTTTCTATGATGTTCCAGTGTCTTCAAGGCGCCTGTGGTGACAAGGATTAGCATGTTCAGTGAAACATGGACAGGATTGTTCGAACACTGGCTCACGCTGACATGGCTGTGGGGTTTTGACCCAGAACCCGACCCTGGATCCAAAGGTGGTCAAATGCACACCCACATCTGGTGCCTCTTTTTACCATGAAAGTGAAGGATGGGGTGGCTGGAGATGAAAGTTTCGCCACATTAAAAATCTCATGGACCTTAGGTGAAGTCCAGCAAATAGGACACATGCGGTTTGGAAATATACATATATATACCTGAATCTTCCTAGGGCTGCACTTTTTGCGCCTCCAATCTAGAAGGCGCCTCTAGGAACTGAGAGGCAATTTTTTTTGCAAGAGGCGATTCTTGTGTTACATAGATTTCTCCCCAGTTATGTTGATAGAACATATGATAACCGTGATAACAATGAAACTTATACACTTAACATATAGGAAAAACACCACAAACCCCGAACCATGAACCAAAACATAAGTTATATGCATTGAAAAGGTTCAAGCATGATAAACCGTGAAACACATGAAGGCATGATAACTCACTGTGGAAAAGTGAGCGCACACAACATGAAACTATATATAGATATATAAATATATGAACTGCTAATTTTCCACTTGGAGTTGCCTGCGAAAAATGACCCCCACAAGTCCGGCTTTCCCCTTCAACACCTGCATTTCAGGCAGGTCGAACCGGACTTGTGGGGGTCTTTTTTGCAAGGAAAATTGCAAATATGAACATGATATCGCGCAATTTGATAAACACACATGAAAACATGAAACACATGAAAACCACATGAAAAACCTGAAATACATGAAAACACATGAAACATATGAAAGCCACATTAAAAACATGAAGCACAGGAGAGCCACATGAAAAAAATAACACATGAAAACATATGAAAAAAACACAATACACGAAAACACACATTAAAGCACATGAAAAACATGCAACATAAGCAAAACCATGAAACACGTGAAACAACGAGAGGCGGAACTTCCCGGGTAAGAGGCGGAACTTCCCGGGTAAGAGGCGGAATTCCCGGGTTATGAATTTTTGGCATAGTATTTAATTAAGTCGACAGGTTGCCGCTTTCAGGCTCGTCTCTACTCGAAAGGGGAAATGGCGTATCAGCTTCCATCCCGTGTCTTTTCGAGTTCGACCCTGATGGCTGGTTTGACGTTAGTGAAAGAAGAGAAAGATGTGGACAAACTTGATGGTGACGATGCAACCCTGATGTCAGAGCTGCAACAACCGCAGGTGGGGCTGTTCGTTTCTATAGGTATTGATACTCACCTCTAGTCAGTGTTTTGGTCTGAACATTTCCTGGCTAAAGATGTTAGCTTTGTTTTCTGCCGGTTGCAGGCGCTCAGGTTGCAAATCCAGCAACTGCCTACTCCTATGAACTCTGCCTTGAAAGACCTCCAAACGCCAAACACCTCGGAGAGTTCGTCTTGCCTGATGATGAAACTCAAACGGCTGGTTTGGGCTTGGACGCAGTTGCTAGCAAGCATGATGAAAGTCTGTTTGCTTGGGCTTGACCGATAATCTTTTATCATGTTGATATCATGTTGATAGCTGTCGGCAGCAGCAGCGGAAGACCACCAAAAACATTACACATGACAAGATTCCCTTCTACCAGAAAAGCACGAGAGGCAGTTTTTGTTCTAAGCGGCAACTCTTGAATGGAGAGGCTAACATTTGAGCCTCTCTGCTAAGAGGCTGAGAAAAGCAACCACCGGAGGTTTAAGGTATATATATATATATATACGTGTTCTGAGTAAAAACCACCCGTCAACTAGATTTGGCCATTGGTTTGAAGCAGGAGCATGACTCCTTTCTCTCTGGCCAACTTAAGATACTTTGTGCACAAACATATTGGTGGGCTGAGTAGGACGCTGCCATGCAAAGCTAATCATGTCCGTGAGAAGTGTTGATATTTACATATATTTACCGTCTGTCTTTGGCGCGTTGTATTCACAGCTTCTGCTCTAGACTCTAGATTCTGTGAGCATCATCATGTGTGCTTTTCTTGGTTCCGGGCAAAAAGAGAGTAGAGTGTGAGATAGTGGTCGCCAACGATGTCGAATCAAGGTCCAGCATGTGTCAAGGAGACTCACTCTCGTCACCTTTCTATCTAATATAATTGGTGGGTTAACATGTTAAAATATGCACTCCGTGCTGCCTAGAATGAACATCAACTATTCACCCAAACCATGCCACCATGTCCCAAAACCTCACTATGTCCCAAGACCATGCCACCGAAATCGCATATGAACAGATCGCAAAATCTGTTGCGAATCTTTCGCGGCTGCATGTTTAGCTCTTGCGAAGGCATCATACATAAACCTCGCTTCAACTTGTTACTTGGGAAGTTTCAACCGCTGCTCACTTGTTTCCACCCGCACCTTCCTGCACAAAAAACATACTCGCCCCCATGTCCATCCTCGCCCCACACGTCTTCCACGTCCCTTCTCGTTTTCCACTCACGGACCACGGACGCCTGCCTCGTCCACCTCGTCCGGCAGCGGCGCAAAGGCGTGCCGCCCCGAGTCCGAGGGCCCGGAGGAGTCGCCCGGCTCGGCGTGGTCCGAGAAGAGCGACGAGTCCTGCGACGAGTCCTGCTCGGTGCGCTCGTTGGACCTTGGAGAGAGCGCAGGTGGGGGCTCCTGGAGCCCCGTTCGTAGCGTCCTTACTCATATAGTCTAGTAAGGTCAGGAGCCCCGTTCGTAGCGTCCTTGCTCCTAGTTGGTGGAGAGAGCGCTGGTGTGTGGTGTGAAGGATGAATTTGTTGGTTGGGTGGTGGCAATGGGTTTGTTATGGTTTGTTGGGGGAGGATTAGCGGAGAGAGATGTCTGTAGTCTGTAGTCTTGGGAAGGGCTGAAGAAAATGGGGAAGCATGGAGAATCTCGTTGATGACGGGCAACGAGGAAGCCAATGACCCTGAACTAACCAGGATTCCAAGTGGTCTAGCCGTACATGGTTACCAATTCTGAGAACATCAAGCTGTGTTGCTTCTGGAACTTGGCTGCATAGTGGTTAATCTTGTGGTGCTGTTGGCTCAAACTGAGCTGCGTCCGCTACACGCTGAGCTAGTCTGTTGGCAAACTGGCAGAGTGAAGGTACGGACGTATGTCTTCTAAACGGCCTTGGCAGTATGTGAATCCGAAAAGTGTCCAGCAACAAAACCGACGAGAACCTGTCTGCACGTTGATTCTTGTGGTGAGTTGGACAGAGGGGTATACTGACTTTCGCACGAGAAGGTGGAAGGGGGTTGGGAGAGCACACGAGACCGCAGCACCCAACAAACACCCCTGGATAGCCACTGTTACGCACAAAACGGAGTTTCAATAGAACACTGGCAGAGTAGAAAGCAACATTTAGAACTATTCACAACACTTCACCAAGACTAAGCAAACTGGACAGGCAAGAAAAGTGGGAAAGCAAAGAAGCAAGCAAAGTCACACAAAAAGTTGAGAAAATCAAAAAGGATGCAAGCATGCCCAGAGTTGAAGGAGAAAACAGAAGCAAGGAACCTCAGAACAATCAAAGCAAACAAGGGGGTCCAAACTCTTTGGGGAGGGAAATTGAACGGTAACCCAACGGCATTGGAGAGGCTTTCGACCGGTATGTCATCAGGCGCTCTGACATTAGTGAGGGTTCTGGGAACCCGTAAATAACAAAAGCATTAGAAAGCTTTCAACAAATCTCGAGCAGCAAGCAGCTTCCAATCCCCGATCGGCAAGCTGCTTGACAAACTATGAAATCATCAATCCGAGACCCGCCCACCAGCCAGCAGCAAACTCTGAACAGATTTGGGGCTCATCACACATAATCTCTCAAAATCTCTCAAACATCATCTCACACTTCCTCAAACTCCACCCTGTGTGGCCCTGGCCCCTATGGAGAACATCGCGAGATCCATCTGCATCCCTCCCATTCCAGAAAGAACCACAAACACGCAGAACACTGCACATAATTACAAGTGTTTGGTCATGAGATGTCATGAGAATCTTCAACCGAAACATCTCAAAACTTTTAGCCTTTCACGAACACCTGTTGTTCTTTGGCAAACTTCCTATCAAAACAGGGCTCCTGAGATCCTTGTCTGGGGTCGGTCTACCAACATCATCTCACACCTCCACCATTCATCTCTCCCCAAGGCCCTTGCCCCGACTCTTCAGAGCGCATGGGCACCATGGGAATCGCCGCGCCTGCGCCTTGCGCCAACGCGCGGCACGCCGCGTTGAAACCGGTACTGCTTGGGGACGGTGGGGGGGGGGGGCCACCGGGACGCCATT